GAAATTTTTATGTTTTTCATTAAATTGAGCATGCTTACTTGAAATTTAATTGATTGTCCTGATGATTTGAAAGTGATTGGTGAATTATGATTTTTTCGTTAACTTCTACCTGTTTTGTCTCCGATGTGGTCATGTTATTAGTGACCCTGCTAGTGGGGATTATACGCTAGCACATGTCGACATGTTAGCGATAGAGTCGGTTCGTTCGAGTGACCCTGCTAGTGGGGATTATACGCTGGTAAATCGTGTGCCTGCCAGTGGGAGGTTTATAACACTGGTCGTGACTTATAGATGAGACGTCCATTTCATTCTCGTACTGTATCCGTTTTTTGTTCTTACACTTGTTGACATGCTATAAATTTAATTAAGGGCTATCCATATTTACTTACTGAGTTTATTTCATAATTTTCCTTGTCCACAATTTCAGGAAATGAAACCGAGGACGGGGAAACCACGGGAATGAAACCGAGGACGGGGAAACCACGGGAAGTGACGAGTTAGAAGGCTAGCCATTTTGTAAATTGAATATGGATTTTAGATGTAGATCATGATCTTGTAAGTTAAACTGTATTTGGAGTTTTTATGGTATTAGAGAAAATTTTAAAATATTATCTTCAGATTTTGTGATATCAGATTATGATATGATAAGTTTCGAGTCTTGTGCATTTGTGGGACACTCTCACGAGTGCACGGCGTCTGTTACGTCTCCAGATTTGGTTTCTGGGGTGTGAGAAAATTATTTTAAAATACTTATAAAATCCTCAAATAAATACTCAATAAACCTCTCTTATGAGTTTAAAATCCATTTTAAACTTATAGTATTTTTGGGTTGAGAAGAATGAAGGGGAGGGGAATGGAAGGTTATAACTTCTCTCCCCTTCATTCCTCTTCAACCCAAACATAGGATTAAAAATCTACTCTCTTCATCCCAAAATAATTATCATTTTTTTATTTTGAATTTATCTCAAATTAATTGTCATTATTTTTTTTTCAAGGTAAATAAATAATTTTTTATACTTTAATTCTATGTTTTTTATATCTTTTTTAAGGGTATTATTGATAAATACAAATCTCAAATTTCTTAATTTAAGAAAAAAGTCAAAAAAATAATTATTATTTAGGGAGTAATATTAGCAGACTACACATTCATTGTAATCTATATATCTAT